TGGATGTTACAAATAAAATACACCTTTAATTCCAGCTAATAAAAATTAATAAAGTAAAAACGTTTTCAATCGTTTCTTAACAATCTTCTTCAGTTACCATAAAGGTTTATTAAAAGTTATTAAAGGTGTGTTTTATTCGCAGTATTTTTATCCAGTTAATTTGTTATATAAGTAAACTGGATGTTTCAAATTATAACATTCCATAGCTTCAAATTCTGTTTTAATCTAGAAAGTTCTGTTTTTTCATTCAATAACCTAAGGCAGGATGCTAAAGATAGTGTGACAATGCCGAAGGGCCTCCCTACACTTCGGCACCACGTGACCAAAGGGTCAACATCGCGTCGGTAAAGATTGCAATGACAGGTTTCGTCAGGACTGACACCACTGTGTCTTCACGGCTAGACACAGAAACCGTTTCGTTCGGGCGTGAGCAGTCGCGTGTGTGAGAGATCAAAGTTGAGATAAAAGGAGAGACAGTGCACTGGAAGTGATTAGACTTGTAGGCTAGATTAATGTAACAAATGTTTAATGGGTAATGATAGGGAATACATATCTCACAAATAGGTTGATAGTAAAGTTCGATAGTAAAGTTAACTGAGCATTCTCGAGAGAGAGAGTTTACAATTCATACGCGTGGCGATAAATACCTTTTTTTGATATCTTGATCTGGATCCAGTCGACAAGACAGAAAGTTCGGGAAGGTAGTGTTAAGTCCAATAGTTCTGACTTTTTCCTTTGATATTAGGTGATTCTTGATATTCACAAGCGAAGAGGTATCTCAAGGAGCACAGATATTACGTAGAAGTAATCCGATGGAAGAACTGGCGACAACTGACTCACTTTTTTCTTCTTGTCTAATGTCGAACTGTTAAAATCGCGATACCAGGTCGAAAGGTGATGAGAAAGCGTCTTTATTAGGCCTGAGAACTTAACAGATGTTTAACTCCCAGGTGTAACAGTTGACAGTTATTGAACGAAAGTATAGATACACTGTGATCTTATGACACAGTGGAATGAAAGTATGACTACGATATGATCTTACGATGAAATGATATAAACACATCCGAATTCGGATCCTCACATCAGACAAAATTGTTTGTTTTGTAATAAAAATTTGCTGTAAAAAGTAAGGAAGATGTTGTGGCTTAGTAGAAAAAGTACCAGTAATCTGTAAAGTGTTAAAATGTTGGCAAACAAGCCTATTTGAGAAACCTAGACAGCATAATCAACATTGTCATGTCTAAATCAGTGATTCTCAATGTTATCTGATCAGCAGACCACATAAACTGAATTACAGATGAACCACCAACCACCTATACACTTGCCCAATTCTTTTACAATTGTTACCTAACACATATGCCATATTTTTTCTAACTGGTAACCTAATGTAAGAGATATGCAATATATAAAAATGTTCTTTCATCTAGCTAAAGTACAAGATTCACATTTTGGAAAAATTATTAGGTCAGACTATAAACTGTCTGGCATATGCTTGAAAACAACCAGTGTCCATGAACCATACTTTCAGAACTACTGTCCTAGACCAAATCTACTACCTAGTTTGTGTTTTTTGAGTATCTTTTAGATTTCTCTAATTAAACATTGATTATTAGTTATTAAATTTAACATTAAGTAGCACTTAACATTTCTGGTGTCAAATTACGTTAATTATCATGTAAAAATAGTCTAATAATTTTGATAATTTTTTTATTCTTTCCGATTACAATTTTTATTACACACTTTTTTTACAAAACAAAAACTATGTATTGACTATTTAAATAAACACCAGATATTGCAAAATTTATAGCAATTTTTTAACAGATACCAAAGTTAAGCAATAGTCTCTGATTTCAAGAATGTCTGTAAAATCTAGATTCTACAAACATTGAAAATGTTTATCTATGATTATTCTGAAGATTCTGAAAATTTAAATAACATTCCATCATTCCATGTTTGAATTCTGTTTCCTATTATTTTTTTGTATTTAAATTTGACTAATTTATGTGGCATTTAATACAGGATTTTTGGAAATAACTGAAAACTGTAGACACTAAATTTTTGATTTTATTAAAATATTTTGTATAATTTTTATACTTTGAACCTTTATAATCATATATAGAATGACATTAACATTTTAAAAGGATAACACATGTACTATTTAATATTTCAAATGTAAATCCGATAATAATTTTCAATATATATATTCTACAGCATAAAATAAGTCTGTGCTAGGAATTAATTATGGACATGAGTACTGTATTTAATAAAACTTTTAAATAAATTTCCTTCAGTTTTTGAATGTAATCCTCATATTACTGTATGATAATGGCTAAAAATTTTAAAGATTTTTATTATTTTTGAATATTTAATTCAACACTAGACCCAGTAAAACAAACTTTAAAGAATTATTATTTAATGAAGTTAAATTATTATTAAAAGATGTATGAAGTGTTATACTTCACTGAAAAATATGAAATATTTTAGTACTTAGAAATTATTTAATAATCTTGTTAACTTTAATGATATTCACACACAAGATTTTACATTAATACTTAAAGGCATTAGAAACAAAATAAAATAAAATAAAGCTGGAGAGGAACATCCAACACCTCATTAAATCAAGTCTTTTACACAAAATAAGATATATTTATATTTGAGAAATAAAATATTGCAACATAATTCTAAAAATATTTTCAATTTCTGCAACCGCTATGCAATATTTACCGAGGAAGGCATAATGATAATTCATTATTATTTAATGTACTGCCACTTTCACCTGACTGCTTTTCATCTAGGGATTTCTTTTCTCATTGCACTCAACAAACTCTCTCTCTTACTATCATAAATGACTGCTAGTTTTATATAAAATAATTAATCTTTATCTGCTTAGAATAAGGTATCTATTTAAGAAAAACTGTTTAGAAAACATCAAGCTAAGTACTTAATTATATTCAATCCTAATACTTAATTTGTCTGTACAATTAATTTTTGTCTAAATATAACTATTTTGATAAAAAGGATCAATAAAAATTGTGTGAATGTTAAAACTACAGCAAAATGTAGTATTGTCATCAGAATAAACAAGTTTTTCTTCATGATAGACTTAGTTGCACAAAAAGACTTGAGGTGTTACTTGGCATAAGTTAATAGTTCCCAACAGAATAGACTTTTTAAATCAAGTTTTATTAAATGTAAAATAGATTAAAACAATCTTTCTAAATATTGATGTTTATGTTCTTTTATTAATTCTCCTCGGAAAATATCTAAACAGTGAACCTATCGTTCATTTACTTAGTCTAGTGGAAAAATGATTCCTATGTTATTACAATAAATAAATCTCTATTATGATAAAAATTTAAGGTGGCGATAAATACCTTTTTTTGATATCTTGATCTGGATCCAGTCGGTAAGACAGAAAGTTCGGGAAGGTAGTGTTAAGTCCAATAGTCCAATAGTTCTTTTCCCTTGATATTAGACGATTCTTGATATTCACAAGCGAAGAAGTATCCCAAGGAGCACAGATATTATGTAGAAGTAATCTGATGGAAGAACTGGCGACGACTGACTCACTTTGTTCTTGTCTAATGTTGAATTGTTAAAATTGCGATACTAGGTCGAAAGGTGATGAGAAAGCGTCTTTATTAGACCTGAGAACTTAACAGATGTTTAACTTCCAGGTGTAACAGTTGACAGTTATTGAACGAAAGTATAGCTGCACTGTGATCTTATGACACTATTGAATGAAAGGATATAAACACACGGAAAGTCTGAATTCAGATCCTCACAGTAATCTTTTAATTAGTTCTCTTAAATCTTCTTTAAATTAATGTGTTTAGCTATTTGAGAGATTATCAGAACCTCTTTAAATATAGCTTTTATAAGAAAAATTATAGCTATATTTAATAAAAATAGTTGTGCCGTGTTCAGTTCATTATGACATATATGAAAATTATTTGTAATAATTTTATAAAGACGAATGCTTGTTTTTCAAATAATAATTGTAATATAAAAATAATAGATATAATCCAGTTATAATTTTATTATTTATCTGCTGATGAGAAATGAAAATAATGAAAACAAATCAAAACATTTTTGAAAATTTTAAATTATCTTTTAATTTTAATATTGTGATTTTTTTTATACTTGTTTAAAGTTCAGTATGATCTTGGAAATCTGACGTATAAGTCCAGAACAGTGTTGGACTATTGGATGTTTATACATTTTGATAAATTAATGATTTAAACACAATAAAAATATGATGAAATATGACTACAATTGACATAATTAAATAATTGAGTACATAAATGAATTTAACATGAAGTCAATTGCTAATGCAATGAAAGAAGTTGGATTATTGATCAAAATATTTGAATGTGCTGTTATTGCCAAGTTGATGGATTCAACTAAATTTAGTAGGAGATACAGTATTTTTGGTGAAAAATTCTGAAAGACTAATTTTTATAGTTATGTAGTATTGTTTTCTTTTATAGTGAGCCCAACAATGTTTAATATCGTGCCCAAGCTCGGGTTTGATATCATTCCATGTTTAGTAGAAAAATGGTCAAATTTAGCAAGAACTAGCATTTTCACTAGCAGAAAGCTTGTCTATGGTTTGACTGCAGTACCGATAATACCTGAGAGTCTAATGTCAGATTATTGGACATGCCAAATTAACATGTGATTGGATTATTGAGATTGTACCATATATTTGCTTTAAAACTAAAGCAAATCATACACTTTTAACATTTGTTAACAGTTTATGGAAATGCAAATGTTCTTTACACAGTTAATTGGCCATCTTTTGCTGTAAAAGAATGTAAGAGGACTGTCAAATGTCTTTTATGTCTAAAGATGGCCTGTTGACCAATTCAAAACTGGAAACTGTTATATATTGTCAAAGATGTACAGTTTGATTTGTTAAGTTAATTGCTGTGGCTAGTTTGACTTAGTAGAAATTTTGTAATATAAATTTGCAATAAATTAATATTTTGTAAAAGTTTAAACTAATCTTTTTATTTTTAAATTGTTAAATAGGTAATGGGTGTCTGCTGTGAAAATGTAATTGGATATATGCCACTTCCAGTGGGAATTGCAGGACCTTTGTTGCTAGATGGAAAGAATTATTACATTCCAATGGCAACGACAGAAGGTTGCTTGGTTGCCAGCACTAACAGGGGATGTCGTGCAATTAGTGTAAGAGAACTTTATTAAATTTCTTCTGATGATTGATAAATTAATATAGTTTTATTTATCTTTAATGATGAGTCTGTTAAAAATTGAATTATGTATCTATAATACAGTGATGGACAGCATGCCAATCGTTTAATAGAAGAAACTTTTAACATATACACATTAAATTACAAATAAATGTCGCTAAATCGACAAGCACTTTTGATGATAATTATTTTCATCTTCATCAGGTCATTAAAACATTTAAAATCCTTTTTTGAATACAAATAACAAATTGTTCCAAGCGTATTAACATTTTGGAATTAGAGCAACGATAGAAATCTTGTGTATATTTGGGAAGCCCTTCTTACCAACATATTAAAACCCTGCAGCACCCCCACACTTGATTTGCCCCCTTTGTGGATCAATTTGTATAACCATCTAAAACAACGTATCTAGCTCCACAATTTGGAGGCGTTTAACACATGCGACTTATAACCACGCGTGTTTTCATTTAAAAATTGTTTTATGTTCTACCGTTGCTCTCATTCCAAAACGTTAATACACTTGGAATGATTTGTTATTTGTATTCAAAAAAAGATTTTAAATGTTTTAACGACCTGATGAAGACAAAAATAATTATCGTCGAAAGTACTTGTAGATTTAGCGCCATTTATTTGTAATTTAACGCGTATATGTTAAAAGTTTCTTCTATTGAATTATGTATTCTGTCAACATAAATTATTAATATCGTTAGCTCTTATTATTGAATTATAAAAGTAATGTTTTAATACGTATGTGTTTATGCAGAGGATTGTGTCTGTTATGCCTATATTATATGCATAATAGACAAAACAACTAATCTTTTTAACATAATATATGTTAACAAGATTACTGATAATGTAATTTGTTAATTTGCTTGAAGACATTCCAGAATGAAAACAGAAAAACAAATGTTTGTTTTAGAAGTAACATTTGGGTATAAAGGAGTTTTTTAATGTGTTGTTTAATGTGTTGTTTGTATGTATGTGGATCGGTAGTGATATTTGTATAGTGCAGAGTAGTGAAAGTTGTATAGATGTGTTAAACTGTATAAAATTTTATAATTTGCAGGTGGTTTAAAAATTACAAAATTTATAATCAAGTTAAAATATGAAAACAAAATAATATTTTTTTAATTACATAGAAATTTTATTGATTTTTTTAAAAATCTTGATTAAGTTTTGTATGTAGCACTTTAATATTTTTATAAAAAAATTTTATTTTAATCGATCTGTATTCAGCTTTCAGGTGGTGTAAAAAGTAATGTTACTGGAGACGGCATGACAAGAGGTCCCGTCGTGAGATTACCTTCCGTTCAACAAGCCGTGTATGTTGTTTTTAAAATTATTTAGTCTTATAAAAATTGTTTAATTTTTTTTTTCTATTAAGGTGTTAGAAAAAGATTGATTCAAATAATTTTGTTTCTTGAGATTAAATAATTTTAAAACTTTCATATTAACAACTTATCTTTTAGAAATTAGGATATTTTATCAACCACATATCTCCATTTTGGTTTAATTTTATAAACTTTCTTCCAAGATTATGTATTGATATAATTCTCATGTGTATAGAAAAGAGTCAACGATTGCTGGATTACATTGAGCTATGTTAATCCTACTAATTAAATTAGTAGGATTAATATAGCCCAATGTGAAGTAATTTGGTTAGAGGTAGGCATTGGGTTTCATCTTCTGATAAGTTTAATAATTATATCTAAATTAATATAGGCTTGTAGTATCCTTATGGACAAAATTTCAGATATGAATGATGTTGTTGGAACATAACAGAAAGGCATGCCCTTAGGAGCCAGAAAGTGAAAGGAACCATACTTGTACATGTGACCCTTTTGTGAGATATATCCCCTTCTTTTAAATCAGTCTTTTTCTCGGTGGTATAGGGAGTGATGCTATGCACTCCTAAAAAACTATCACATTTAACTATTCAGCCCATTTGACTGTTTATGGAGTATTTGATGTTATATAGTGTTAGGGGGTGTGGGAGCTTGTCCCATATGGATGCTGAGGNTTCATTTAATAACAGAGTTAAAACCTTGCAAAATTGTACACAAACTGGTAATTTACTCAAATTAACAAAATAAAAAAAAGTTTAACTTAAAAACACAGTTTTTCAGATTGAAACAAATGCTTACCCTTTAAAATATAAACTCACCAACACACCGAATATCCTTGGAAAAATGGAGAAAGTATACAATTACAATTAAACAAACTTTTGCTATTTTCAAATATCTAAACTAATTTCAAACAATCTATTTCTAAAAAACATAACCAGAAATAAAATGAAATACATTACACTTTATTTGAATTAATAAAAATAATTAATTAATTGATTTAAAAAATGAATTAGGTAAGTTTAACTTAACGGCACGATATTCATAGTCATATTGCTCGATGTGTGTGACGATCGCACCCGCATCACATAACTGATGGGTAACAAAGTATGTAAGAGCCAAATTTTTTAATTCTAAATCTATATTAAAGTTTAATATAAATAAACTGAATTTATTCTACAATAACAGACTAATAACTGCAACAAGATTGAAAGTTTTATTTTCCATAAAAGTAACAGTCAAACAAAAATATATACAGTATATATAAAATGTACACTTTACTAAACTTATTTTAAACAGTTTATTAACCTTTACAATGTAGTCTTATGACATGAACATCCTGTGCCACTACAATAATATATACCCGATATAGAAAAAATAGTTTTACTTACGAATAACATGGCATTTTGAACAAGAACACAACTAAAAGAATTAATATCAATGATAATACCAATTTTCTATTATCTCAGTAACTGCTACTTGTTTTGAACAGTATACTTTTTATGTAATTTGTTAATTATTACTAACTGTATTAATTATATCGAAAGTTTTATCTTTATTTCATATTGATTTATAACCGATTATTATATTTATGAAAATTTTGATAAGTACAATTTTAAAATAAACAGTAATATAACAAATATTACATTTTCTTAAACAGTCACATGCTAATAAAATAAAAGAATTCTAAACTATGACAGTAATCGGTCAATAATACAGTCGATAGAATCTAAACAATTATTCACCAAGTATTAAAGCATCCCAGATTAAGTTAATTGAACATAAATAATAAATGTATTACATTATACCATAAAATCATTATAATTTATTATAAATTTATAATTCTTTCTTCAATTCCAGATTTGTCTTAATTTTTCTTTTATAAAATTTAATTAAAATAGTAACACGTGCACTTTAAAACGATACTGTGTTTTCAACATAAACACGGATAATTCTTTCACGTAAAAGGAACGATGATTGAAATAGTTTCTTTAAGATAAAAATACTACTTGCCAAGTCAATAATATTGAATCTACTTAAAATAAACTAAGCTACATACGACATTTATTCAAATTACACATCAAAAACACTGTTTCAAAATTTCACAAACTGCTTATTTTTGACACACACCATACGTCGGGGACAGGCAACCATTTTCTACATAAGGGCCGCATTTCAAAACTTTTGAACCGACACAAGCCGCACACAATAGAAAAAAAAAATGCCAGTAAATCGCAATTATTTATTCACGTATAATTACAAATTAGCATAAGTATACTTAATTTAGCTTCTGGAACCGACGTAAACGTAATATATTGCTAGTTTTAAATTAGTTTCGACACGAGTCCATTAGCCAGTTTCTCGTTTTAATTTTTATTAAATTCACTGTGGAAAAACTATTCACATACATAAGTCGTAGAAAATCACACTTGAATTTTTGCCACACACTTTCTTAAGTCGGGAAATCGATATATTTATTCATATTTCGAGCGAGACGGGCCACGGGTTGCCCGTCCCCGCCGTACGTCAACGTAAAGTCGTACTTTAACCGATCAGTTTTTTGTCAAACTATGCATCACAAATAATATTAAAAATCAGGTTTATACACAAATGAGTCGTTCTAGTTTATACTAACGGAAGAAACTTTAAAATGTTATCTCACCACAATCGACATAAAAATGGTAAAATATAACCGAACGTCTACTTCGGTTACGAATATCAATGTTTTACGACACACAAAAAAAAGCTAATATAATGCAGGCTTTACCAGAAAACACAATGGAAGCGATACGAGATATTAAAAGTAGTTTAGCATTAGATAATCACCATTTACATTAATGAATGAGTAACCAAAGGAAATGAAGTCAGTGAAATTTCAACTGCATAATACATTAAATCAATTACTCAGAAAATATAAATAGACGTGTATTATCAATGTTAGAGTGTGTAATTGTTTAAATGCTGTAGAAAAAACATAAACAAAACGTTTGTTTTTGTATATTGTATGTTAACATATTCTAATTAAAGATAATAATTCGATATTATAGTGTTGTGTATTATATGTGATAAAATGAAGGTGGACTGACCTTTTTGATGCCTTTATAGATGTAAACGTACAATTCACGTCCAACATTGAGGCAAATGCGGTCTCCATTGCCACTAAGGTCTGGTAAATGGACGAACGACACTTTAACCGGCGTGTTAGCTTGGGTATTATAGCCTACCCTGTTAGGTCTGGAGTATTCGCTGAGTGTCATGAGTTTGTAACTTCCTTCCCTTGTCATAAATTGGGTTTTAAGTTCGTCTTTACATACGACTTCACATTGAACCGCCATCTTAACGCATCGACAGTGTTGTGGTTAACATGTCTGCAACATCGCCATGCATTGTTTTCGAGCCCTTTTAAGACTCTTTAGCGCTCATTTAATCGAGGCTGAAACTCGATAAGATAACGATTAATCCCAAATGATTTCTCTTCAAAACCAATCATACGCTAGACCTTCCGACATCTTGTCTCCCTCCTAACGTGAAAATACCAGCCTCCGATTTATAATATCTGTTTTTTATGTTATTTACTTTCTGTACTATTACGGTATTTTAAATTTCTAATATAAGTTATATTCTATTATTATTATTTAATTTATTTTTAAATACGGATTTATAACTTTTTATAAGGAATTAGCATGCGTAGATTGTCGAATCCTTGCGGTAAAAACTGGTACTATTTAAATACTGTTATAAAGTGTATTTTTCTATAAATATCGTACAGTTAATGTCTTTTGTGTATGAAAAATGTATTGATTAATCAATTTATAATACTGAAAATTTCAAAACAATAAAGTAAACGTTTCAATTATATCAATGGCACTCGAAACAAATCCGTATTGGTGTGTTAAAATTCTAGAAATTTAAATTTTACCCGTTATTTTAACTCATAATACATAACTATTTATTGCGGTGGCATTTAATAAATTTGCAAAATTAGACATCTACTTATTAGCAATTGAATTTACAATGCGCTATAAAAGAGAAAAATATCGCTTCTAAATTAACTATTCAAACGTTGTTCGCACGAACGAAAACACTGAAACATGAGAGAGGTTGCGGCCGAAGTTTTCGAACGTTGAGCGCCGCCATCTTGTAAGCCTAGAAGTTTGACAATGACGTTTGAAACGTTGAGCATGATTCCAACGACGTTCTAAACGCCATTGTCAAACTTCTAGGCTTACAAGATGGCGACGCTCAACGTTCGACGTTCACGATTTAGAGATGAAAACTTCGGCCGCAACCTCTCTAAAAACGCAATTATGGCATACGGGAAAAAGTAAAGCAGAATTCCTCAAAATGTAGCCAAATTATTTTTAAAGTGGCTCAAAAAGTAGTAAGTCGCGCAAAAGTAATAGCCTAGATTCTTACAAAAATGACAATCAGCTACTGGTAACCCAATCTTGCAATCCCGAAACCCAAATTGTATGTTACGAAATAAGAAAAAAAAAGAGGTATTCCGTACGTAGGGTAACACCCAAAATGTGATATTGTAAAAGCAAGGTCATATTTAATAAAAAGTTATTGCCTATTTACAAGGAAACATATTATTAGAAATAAAATGTACTACTGTACTAAAGAAGAAAATTGAAATAATATCTAAGTCATCAAATTATTAAAATAACCAGCATAAGCGCGACTTTAAGAATTTGACAAACTGTATCCTGTAAAAGAACATAGGTGCTTGATTACATTAGATTGTATCGCTAAATGTCATCGCGCAAGTTTTGTTTTTTATTAACTATTTTGTGGTGTAATTTTTACAAAAGTTTTTTTCATAGTAATAATGGATTTGACTAGGCTCAGAACAAATAACTGGATGTAGAGATGGGATCCAACATATCAGAAACAATCGACCATTAAAATTTCTAAGCATTTGAAGATTTGAAGAGGACTTGATTACGGTTCTTTCAGAGAGACAATGCCAGATCCATAAACTTAATGAAGAGTATCAGGAGTTCCTGACGCCTTTATCTTTGTAAATAAATAGATGTCAAAGTAGAATAAGTATTCAAAATATAACTTGGTCAGTGGAATCTGGATTGGATAATAAATGTAGTAGTTGTAGGAATGATACCCAGAAGAACAAAATAAAAAAAAGACATCTCAATTTTCAAAGTCATAACACGCTATATTGCTGTAATTTCTCAAGAAACCTATCCGGCTACTGTTGAACACTCTGTAAGGCGCTTTGAACATGTGATTGACGCAAATGGATTGCGCATTGAAAAAATATCGGTATAATAATTTATTGAGTGTTTCCATTTTGCGTTTCATGTTCTTCACGCGCCATTTTTCTTCTAGTGGCAGAAATTTGAACTAATTATTCTTTTGCATTTTCCTTTTCTTCATGGTCCATATAACGTATATACCAAGTTTCATCAAAATACATCAAAGAGAATGGGCTCTTTGATGTAGTAGGGCAATTTTAATTATACCCACCCTGTATATCTGGAATAAATTTTTACGATAGTTTGTTTTAATTTTTATTATCTCAAATGTACTGTACAGTATTGTTCATGCTCAAATCTTTCGCACTTTCAGATAATCCAATATAAATTTCAAATCGGACAAATACACTTAATGTAAATGTTTAAGGAACCGATAACGCAGGAGTAATTAAAACATTTATAACGTCATACATCGAGTGTTCTGACTTTGAAATGACGCAGATTACGGCTTAAACCGCAGCCTACTCTTCTGGAGGACCTGGATCAAATGCGAGAAGCAACCAGGAATTTTTCGGAAAGTGATCTGTACCGCATATGTCCCGTGCCTTACTATTAAGTCGCCTCCGCTTATGGAACGGAATGATGATGTTTGAATGTTAATTTATTGTATTTAAACTGTTTTTATAGATCTAGGGAATTTCCCTTGCTTATCTCACTGATTTCGCCCACTTGTTCAAAAGTTTTGTGACGATTCACCGATTCCCGGTACCGCCGTTTCTATTTCCGCCCGCCACAGAAAATATCAATGACTATTCTAACCGAAGAATCTTATATATATTGAATAGATAAGGTTAAATTAGCCACGTTTTTTTCATTGGCGTTAATCAAATTTAAACTTTAATAAGAATGGAAAAGATTTATATGTGGAGCATCATTGTGAACAGCGTTTCATCTACTGTTTGAAAGTTTTGTACCATGCACGAATACTAGTCATATTGCCATCAAAAAATTAAAATTAATCTGTGTTCTGAATGAATAATTTTCTCCTCACGATAAATCCTTAGTGCCTTTAGCATAAAAATAAGGTTTTCTTCCAGACATTTTTTGATTCTCCTCTGCGACAATACCAAGATAATTATTTCTTTATTTCCCCTATTACATCCATATGTATTCGATCAAATGCACAGCGGAAACAACAAAATGGTTATGTGTAGAACATGACATATCCGTATGGGTTGAGCTGGATATATCACAAAGCTTTATTTAACTTAGATTCTCCAGAGCAGAAAGCGCCTTTTCCGCATTGGCCATTCCCACCGTCGATTGAAAAACCCCTTTTAATGTTCACAGGGTAAAAACTTTAATAATGACACTTTATTTATATGATTTAACTCACTTATTTATTTATCTTTGACACGGGAAACGTATGTACTTTAAAAATAGCTAGCTATATTTGAAATTGGGTCTTTCTATCGAAAGCGATTCACGCTACCATACTGCCATTTTAGTTTTTTAATTTTTTTGCAGGTTTCTAGATATTTTAAAATTACTTTCCTTTTATTTTGAAATATATCTTTGAATAATTAATTATTGCAAAGTACTAATTTAAAAAAATATATATATTCTCTGCTTGTTCTGGCAACACTGAAACAAACGTTAAAATTACAAGCATGGATGGCACGTGTGGGGATTATGATCAGATGGTACTGTATCTTTTTTAATAAATAAATTATAATTAAGTAATGTCGTAATTGCATTTTTTGTAAATTTAATATCACAAAATCTTGTCTAGTCTATTTTATAATGAAATCGTATGTATGTGATTTATAATATAGCTTTTTTTCCGTAATATGTAGGAAGAGGACCCATTTGTTACTCACTTCGAACAGAACATATCGTTGCCTCGAGAATGGAAGAAAGAAGAGAAACACGTGACTTTAGCATCTTTAGGTCGTGTGAAGTATACTTATTATCCGGAAGTAAAAAATGTGGACCTGTCGAATTCTATTGATGCCAATTTGTATAGAATCAAACCAATTGAAAAACTTTCATCTTTGCAAAGTGATCTCTTAACTTTAATTTATAATTACGTCGATGTATTTTATCCCATGCAAGACATCAATACATTGGATCTTCAATTGGTGTACTGTCTCCACATTCTCAATCATGTTTTAAAAAGTAATTCCAAAATCGTTCACCATAATAATAAATTAAAGAAACGTTCAGATATACCAGATGAATTTAGGGATCAGGGTTTGACATCTCCCAAAGTTCTTGTGATTGTACCATTTAGAAATGTAGCTTTAGAGATTGTGTCTACATTGATTTCACTCTTGGGAGACGAGGCAAACATAATGAATAAGAAACGATTTTATACAGACTATGGATATGAAGAATCTGATAAACCAAAATTAAAGAGACCAGATGATTATGAAAAGATGTTTGCAGGAAATATAGATGATTCTTTTAGAATTGGAATTTCCATTAAAAAGAAATATATGAAGTTATTTGCAGAATTTTATTCGGCAGACGTTATAATTGCTTCTCCGCTGGGACTCAGGACAATTATTGGTGCTGAAGGAGAAAAAGATAGAGATTATGACTTTTTATCTTCCATAGAAATACTAATTTTTGATAAGTGTGATGTTTTCTTAATGCAAAATTGGGAACATGTAATTCATCTAATGAAACATCTTAATCTGCAGTTGCAGAAAAGTCACGACTGTGATTATTTTAGAGTGCGAATGTGGTGTCTCGACGGATTATCAAAATTTTATCGTCAAACAATTCTCTTAAGCCAGGTGATTACACCTCATCTATTATCTCTTTTCAACAAGCATTGCTTTAATTATGCTGGTAAAATTATTGTGAAAAATCAAATTTTCCATGGTTCTATTTCAAAAATTCTAGTCCAGCTTCCACAGGTAACAGATTTTTTGTGTTTTATTTAAATAATAATAATATGAAATTAAAACACTCTGATATTGATTATTATAATTAAGTGAAAACATAGATCCAAGCAATATATTTTCTACCTCATCATTATCTGTCAAAACTCATTTTACACATTATTTATAATGTATAAAATTATTTTCTAATAATTCTTTTATGAAAAAATTTTTAATCAATGTAGAAAGGTGATGCTAAGTTTACAGTTTTACTAGAAGAAAAGAGAAATTTAATAAATGATACATTTTATTTAACATAATACCACTCAACTCTATGCACTTATTATAACATTCCTCCAATTTTTTTAACCTCCTGCAAAAAATTTTGCTGCAAACATTGGTGTAGCTATAACTTTTAGTTACTTGAGCAAAATATGATAAAGGGAGGCCTGTCAATATAATTTACAATCCACTGTAGCATTGTCGAGAAAATTTTTCTAATTACATTAACCAAGCTAGTTAATTAACATTAATATATAATTAACATGATTAGATTTATTATCATTTTTATAAATTGCTATTAAATTTATTTGTTTCTAAGACAGGAACTTTACCTGATGATTTTATCCTAGTATCAAATGACAATAGATTTTCCAATACACATTGAGGTAAAATTTTAAAAAATTCATTTGTAATACTGTCCTTACCAGGAGCTTTTTAGATCTCAATGTACCCAATATTTATCCCATCCATATTAAACCTATTTTCTAAACATTTGTCCATCAGATAGGGGATACAGAAAGTACAAGATTAAAGCTTAGTTCGCATTGAGCGTGATTTGCTAGCGAAAGCAAAAAACAAAGCGAATAACTGGTCAAACATGACTTGCTTGATGGGTTATTCGCTCTGTTTTTTGCTTTCGCTCGCAAATCGCTCTCAGTGTGAACTAAGCTTAACAATATTATTAAAAATCATTACTAAATAATCAAGTCCAAATGTCAATTGGATCTAAAGAAAAGTTTTTAGGCTTAAATTTATTAATCAGTAGCCAATAAGACTTTGAGCCCTACATATTTAAATACTTATTTATTTTCCATAATGCAATTTTTTCTTAATCTTATGAATAAATCAAAAATATTTTTGGGCTTCTCTAAATTCCATAAGATGATGTATATCATTCTTTCTCCTAAACTTTATAGCATCTGATTTTTTTCTTTTTGCATATCTACAGTCTTTATCAAATCATAACACCAAAACAAATATTTGAATAGGTCAGGACATCTTGCTTTGTACAGGAGAGGTCTTTATTACTTACACCATAAAATTGATCTCTTCATTAACTTGGTAAAAATATATTAATATTTTTCCATTCATCATTATAAAACTCTCAATCATGCACGAAAACAAACACTCTCTCTTCAGCAAATTCCATTTTATTATAGACTCTTTCTTATTTGGTTGTTGACAAGTCAACTTTAATAAAGTTGAAGAGCAATAGAGGTGTGAGATCAAATAGACACATAAAAATCTAAACTTGCTGCAACAAATCAACTTTTAAAAAATTGATTACAAAGCATCCAAGCTGAGAAATAAAAGTATACTTAGTGAAAAATTCCGAGTTCTACCGTTTAATATTATCAAATTACTGTATTTTCCAGTAGTATTTCCAAAAATTGATTACTGTATCTTGGAATTTAGTTATTGTAAATTTGGCAGTTAGCAGGAGTACTGTCAAAGTGCTCACTAATTCTTGTGTTGGCATTCTCTAGAAGAATAATATTAGTTTATGTTCTCAAATTTATTAATATATTCTCTAATTCTATTAGAAGAGAATCATACATTAGAACATCTGTATTAAAATTTATCACAGTTTATTTTTTTAATTTTAATATTGTATGGTAAAATTTCAGACTATAAAATTTCTTGATTTATAAATCTTATGTATCAGTCTGAACTGATATCTTTTAAAACAGCTGAGAATGTTTGTTTTTCTTTCATTTATATAATGTTTATCAAACATCATTTCTGGAAGTAGCATGTAAAAGAGTGCGTGTGTTTCTCAATTGTAATATGCTTTTTATTAACTTGGTTTGTTTACTCATTATCTGTCCAGCTAAAGTAACTCAATTTTCATCCACCTCCCAATTTCCAATCTAGTTGAAACATTGCATACTTATGTATTCTTGATAACAATACTTTTTTTTATTAGTGTTTGCAAACAATTTTAGCAATTAGTAAAAAATTAGTGAAAAATCTGATATAAGAGATGGCACTACATGTAGGGCAAACTATTTCTCATTTTGTATTGTCTATATGAAAACTTTTAATTCAGTTTTCAACTACTTCCCAATTAAATGCTAAAATAAGAAGAATTTCTATAATTCAGTGTTACATATAACAGCACACTAGCTTTAATTTTGTGAGTGTAGTGTTGAATTCTATCAATGCTAAATTCCTCTCCAATTTTTAACAGGTTTTATAATTTAGATCCTTGCAGTTAATAAGCAAAAGTTTTTAACAGCATATCAAACATCATTATTATTAATTAATACAAATCTCTAAACCCAAAATTACTATACAGTAATACCTCGAACTTACGCGATAGGTGGGACCGAGCGATAACCGCGTAAGTCGAATTTGCGTAAGTCGGGGTATAATTTCGCAATTTGCGTAAAATCCAAGTCGGATATATGTAAGCTAATAAATGTTCTTGTTAATCTTATCTCGTCTTTTGATTCGTTCACGGTTACAAGAAATCACCGCATAGAGTCTCTTGAGTCTCCGTAGATATAACAAACACAGAAATAAATAACACAAAATAAATTGTAGCTATGCGTCGATTCCGCATGACACGTCCGAACCTGTAAGCTCAACAATAGTGTGGGGGGAGTGAGTAATCAAGAGTTGTGTGGTGCTCAAAAGACGAATCAACGAGATTTGAAAATCGCGTAACTCCGGGATCGCGTAAGTCAAGGTATTACTGTATTATTATTATTTTTTTAGATAATGTATCTATTTTATGATCTCTTATTTCCTGCTACTTAATAAATTTATTTAAGTAAGATTCAGTTTTCTGAAGAGCGACATCAATCTTTGTGATCCTATCCTAACGTGTATTTGCATAATAATGATAATATCCAATTTTTGTTCCATAACTTGTAGTTGGCCAACAACAAGGTTACCATAATTGAAGGCAAAATACAGACAGATTAGCATTAAAAGTATTCAGACATCAAGGCAAAATAAAAGGAATTTATTCATATTTTTCAATCTCATAAATATAGGCATTGGGGCCAGTTCTGGTAGGTGTGCAATACATGTATGCATGCAAAACAGCCAAATTCCTGAGGCAGTCAATAGTTCACTTTAAAAAAGATAAAACTCAAATGTAATATTATTTTAATATAGTAGTTGGCAATGAAATAGATTTATATTTGCAAGACAACTGAAGATATAGTTGTGCAGTTTGTGGATACAAATAACCAAGCTTTATATTATCATACTATGATTAAGATTAAAGTTACACTTACTTAACTCATTGTGAATGAGCCTTTATTCCTGTACCATTAATTTTAGGATGATACTTACACTATTGTTTCAACTATTGATGGAATTGAAAGGAAATTTACATTAAAAAAAAATACATATGGAGGTTATTAAATTGAATATTCAAATCTAAATAAATTTTTATATACAATACATATATATATATTGTATTTATATATTAATACTAAATAAGAAAAATTTCTTTAAATTAATTTTATTATAATTTGCAAATTTTATTTTATGGCGGTGCTAAAATATAACTTTGAACAAAGATGTCTAATATCTAGGGGTAGCTTGATTTAAATAATGTTAAAATAAAAATATATCAGATATTTTTATAGTTTTTTTTCTATCCTTGTCAATTATATGAAACTGTCGTAAAACATATAAATAGATTCTCGTGGGTTGGATTAAGGTATGAATTTACTCATGATCAGCATTGAGAGGGTGGCCAAATATCTGTAGCATGCAGGCGGCTAACAATCGAAAACCAGCCGTGGTAGGTATATAATATAAAGTTTCAATTCACACTTTCCTTTGGGGTGCAGAATTTTAAATATAAGAAAACTATTTTACCATTAGAGAATAAGTAATATTGAATTAAAAAAAACTGTTATAATGAATGTGCATGTATTCTCTAAGTAAAACAGTTACATTTGCTTTTCCAATGTTGCCACCTAGCCAACAAATACAATTTTATTGTAATTATCAAAAATTTACCACCTTTTGTCAGATTTAAATCTAAGTGGTTATGATTTAACTATTAAATGTGCAATCAGTTGAAAAGTATGGACATTTTGTTTAATTTTTCTAAGTACGTAAAGACACGAACTGTTCGTAATAAATACAGACATAGGGTAACTCTACTAACAATTAATTTGAACTTTCCATCCAGATATGATACCATAACTTCAGATAATTCAGAGCTGGTTCCTTCTTTATTAGATTTAAAAATATTTACTGTGAAACACAGAATTGCTTGGTGAATGGTGCTGTTTCCAGGGGCATATTGCAGAATCTACTAATGGAGTAGCGGAGTTCTTGACATGGACTGTGATTTTGTACAATCCATTTCTTAAAAATACTAAATGCAGAATGTTACAAATAATGACAAAAAATTTTAGTTATTCATAACAGTATCAAACACTATCTCACTAAAAAAGTCACCAGTATTGTCTATAGTTTGAAGTACTCCCTTCTGCGAACAAAAAGTTTGACCACACACCTTTTAATGTTACTGAATGCTGCCCTATCTTAGTGCAGCCATTATATAAATTCAATTTATTAAAGTAAGCAAAGTAATGAATGAAGTAGACTCTTGTGGTGCTTGAGCTCTTACAATGACTTCTCTAGAATTATTCTCATAGTGTGGCTTTTGCTCTTTCATCTGGGTAAATTTGTAAACTTTTCAGTATTCCCTCATATAAAGGTTGAAGCTCATTGAAATTAGATACATTTTCCAATAAATAACAATATCATCAATGGCATGTTTCATAATAAAGTTTATTAAAAGTATTTTCATCTTTAAATGTAAGCCATCTTCAGTTAGAAAGAAAAATTTATTCTTTTTAATTAGGAATTATTTAATACCTTAAACACAAAGATATTTTTTTGATGCCAAAAGCAATTGACATCCAAGAAGAGTTGTTGATTATTCCTTTATTACTTCTTTATTAAATTAAAAACTAAGTAATACATAAAATTTTAAAATGAAAAAATGGAATAATGTCCTAAAACAATGTTCAAAGCCAAGTATTTCCTCTTTACAAAGTGTTTCCAAATTTGTATTCTTGTAAAGAGAAATGTGACAAAAAGATAAGTGTTCATAAATTTTATTCTTAGCAAAATTTGCTGATATACACTTAAGATGTCATTGCTGCTATACTCATTGACATACAGCTAATTAAATGATTACACTTCTGGTCTGATTGTGCATCAGGTAATGCCACCAGTGCCTTAAAATCTCTATCTCAGTATCCTGTTAAAAGACTCAGAGATTCATGTGTTCAGAGTTTTTAGTGTACATGTTTGGAGGTGTTCAAACCACTGTTATGTATAGATTCCAAGATCTGAGGGGAGATTTGACTTAACCTTCTCTCAGATCTTGGAATCTTCAATCTTTGTGAATGTCACTGACTTTTGGCATAACTAAAATTGTATTCTTTTATTATTTATGAATAGACTTACTTAAAATACCCAAACTCTAGCAGTAACGTGTGATATTAGCACTAGAACTAACATTTTCGGAGTTCTTATTTGCTTCATCTTCAGGTTTTGCAGTCATTGGAACAAATGATTTTTCCCTTACCCACCTTACTGCTGGAGTTTGTGTATTTTAAGCAAGTCTGTTGTTTCTCCAGTTAAATAGAGTAAATAGAGGTTATAATATGTTTACAGTTTCTAATGACTGTTTTTATGAATTATAAGTATTACATTTTGTTTTAGATATTAATTATTTTTTGCTTTTTAAAGGTATTTCAACAGTTTGATGCCAGTTCCTATCAATCTGCATCAGATGAGAGATTTTCATTTTTTATTTCCAAAATCCTTCCACAGTTTAAAGATTCGTCAATGTCGCACATCTTAATATTTATTCCATTTTACTGGGATTTTGTTCGCCTGAGAAATTATTTCAAGAAGGAAGAATTAAGCTTTACTCAATTATGCGAGTATAGCAGTAATGAAAAAATTGCTAAGGCGAGAAACATTTTTTATCGAGGAATCAGGAAATTTGTGCTTTGCACAGAAAGGTTTCACTTTTTTAAACGGTATCAGATTAAAGGTATACAACACATAATTTTCTATCAACTGCCAATATATCCTCATTTTTATTCTGAATTTTGTAATTTTATGCATCGTAGCATGCAGAGCAAATCTCAATCTCTGCAAAATACAACATGCACAGTTTTGTATTCAAAATATGATTCCTTGCAGTTATCTGCTATTCTGGGCGATGATAAAACAAGTTATTTGTTATCTGCCGATAAGAAAGTTCACATGTATGTATCTGGAAATTAAAATTTGTTCATAAAATATCATTCTTAATATGATGCATTTGATTGGTATATTCAATTAAAGGTTATTATTAACATTAATATTTATATAAAATTGTAAATTCTAATATTGATTAATTAAAATAATATATGTTTTACTGAGGTATTTATTTCCAATTATTATTATATGGTGTACAGTATAACATTTAGAGATTTAATAGTGTACAGTTTTTGAAAGTTATCTAAAAAGTATATTTTTGTTATGTTTTTAAATAGTATATTTAGTACAGATATCAGAACCTGCACTTTTTTGCTGTATCTAGAATGGTCTGATAGAATACAAAATGGTATAATATACAAATTTTTCATCTGTTTTTCTTCAAATTTCAGATAAGTTAACTAAAATGTTGCTTACAGCGTGACATTATTTATACGTTTTCTTATTATATGGTTTCCCATATATATATAGTGTATGGTGACTATACGCATTTACATAATCTGAAACACAATATGTAACCTTGGAGATTTCTCCGAAATAGAATGTGAATACCGATTACTAATATTTTCAAGCGTCATTAAATTTTTATAAATTTGAAAACTAAAACTAATTTTATAATGTTTATTTTTGTATTAAATGATATTAAGATTAAGAACAATATTAATAACACTGATTAATATAATCTTCATTGATAAATATATGACAATGTGATAATATGATTCATTCTATCTTTGACAGCTGGATGGCCAAGTCCCATTGTGAGCCTGGACAAACTCATAATGAGTTTACTAGAAAGGCCCTCATAGTGCCCACAGGGCAGAAATAGTTAAAAAATATCATAACTAGCAGCATGTGCCCAGCAGGATTGGCTAGATTGGGCTGGGAAAAAGTGATTTAAAAAAGAATCGTCTTAGTAACTAAAATATACATTTATTCTGAGTATTTATAATAATGAAACGACAAAACAAAGAGATTATTGGAGTGGGGATCATATAATATTTTTTCTAAGGTGTTAAAATTATTCATGCCAAATTTGGTGAGGATATATTCAACAGTATATCTGAATCAGGAAAGAGCCACATAAAACATACCATGACTGAAACCAAGCACTGGTAAATAAATAGGCTACCAACTTTACATGCAGCCTCTGTTTCTGATTTTGTTCATTGTCATGGTGAATTTTAGGATGATGGCAAATCAAAGTTGTTTAATTTTGAAAGAAAAAATGCTTTGCTTGAAGTTAATGGTGTCCGAGGAAGCACATGAATGGTTTTGTGGTTCTTACAGATTTTGACATTAATTGTATTGTAAAATGTACCACATAAAACATTTTTTAGTGTCAAGGTTCCTGATGAGCATCGATACAACTCCATGTTAACTTAAGTAACAAAAATCCAATCACTCCTTAATACCATCAACGGGCTGCCGAATATCTTCAGATATCCTGGCTTGTACAGCATTCAAATTCTACATGGTATACAATCTGAACAGAATTCATGCTGGCTCGTCTGTAGCCTGGAATAATAAGTGAGGCCTATCCTGTTTAGGCAGAGGACATGATAAGCTAAATAAACATGATAAGGAAAATAAGCTATGGCTTATTTTCCTTATCATGTCCTCTTTCTCCAATCCACCACAAATTAAGGATCGGCCAGCTCAACATAAAGGGTTTCTCTATAGCCAAAGCTGAGATCCTAGGTAGGATGATGTCTGAATTTAAAATGGGCATCATCTCGCTTCAAGAAACCCACTTGTCTGAGAGTTCAAAATTCAATATCCATATTGCTGGCTTTTGAAGTATTTGTTCTAATCTTCATCCGAAGTTCGGTCTTGCTACTTTCATTAATCACTGTTTAAAAGAAATTATAAAACCTATTACTGATACTCTGCACTCCATTGGAATATATATCAATGATCTTAGCAGTGACGTACCGTGACATTTGATGATAGTAGAGAAGCTGTGTTTCTGTAAGAAGCCGACTTCCAGGAAAAACCAGTTAATTGCGCGACAGTGATGGTCTAGGGTCAATTCGTATTCGTTTGTTCGATAAGCCAGTAAAAACCGTAGACTTTTCCAAATGTATTTTTAATATCACAATTACATTCCGAATCGTTAGCCACGATATAAGGGCTAAAATTAAAAATAAAAGGAAAAACTTACTCTGTGAAATAAAATGTGTGGTGGATGTACATTACATACTTGGTACAAAATATTTTTCAATTGTACGAATATACTTTTAAAGAAAATTATGATTAAATATAGCTTTGTAAAGAAACGTACATAAAAATAACATAAAATCTTTTTAAATCTTAAAACAATCCACTTAGTCAAATATCTCACTGCGAGTGGCTAATGAATGGAATCAAAGACGGTCCTGATAGATGCATGCACCTACCAGGATCAAATCCCGAGGATGCCAATACCGGTCAATGTCAAATGCCTCTTTTGTCGCATCACTAATATACTTCAAAGGACGCCACAGGGTTGTTGTAAATTTTAAACGTTTCTCACCACAGCTGTAAAAATCTGCATGTGTTAAACTTAATAGATTGTCCGTCGTTTGTTTTCTTACTAATTCGTTTTAGGACCAGGTGTCCACGGAAATTTCCAAAATTTACTTTTCGGTCACTCTCATTGAACTGGAAAAATTTGTCTTTATTATGTCTAATATTACGAAGAAATCAGTCCTCACTGTACTTGGCTAAAGATTGGTTCGGTTAAGCGTTTGTTTAAGTAATATTTCGGCTCATTTGGCGGGGTTTTATTTATGTCCCTAATTCCTTAATCTCTTAATTATTTAACTACTTGTTAAGTAGAAGTAAGTGGAAACCGGTTACTTTGTATATGAATATTTGTAGTCTCGGGAAAAAAGTGGAAAGACAAATTTTTATGACGACGGATACATAAATTTAAGGAAAATAAATTCTACAGCTTTTTCTGTACCCCGTGCGTCTCTCTCATTCATTAAATTTAGTTGCAAATGAGGCTGCGAAAGTAACGATTAATTTTTTAACATTGTACAAGAATTGTACACGTTTTTCTCTACATCCTCTTATAGATGTGACATACGAAATCGTAATAATAACGCTAGTTTAACATTAAAATCTGTAATGCAAAATGGAAGAGCAGAATAAAAGCAGAATAATTATATCAAATATTTTAATGGATTTTTAAAACTTCTGTCAATTATATAGAACTATCATAAAAACATACCGGTAAACTCCTATCGGTTGGGCTACTCGCGATTCACATAATGGGGCGAGGGCGGTCAAATATCTAGCAGGCAGGTGGCTAACAGTCCAGAACCAGTCCTGGATAGAATCATTGGAAGCGTTATATTTATGTAACTTTCACCAGCTAATCCGGATGAGGTTGGTGCTCCGTAAAGCGCATGCGCGAATGTGTGTAATCTGGCTGCTTTACCATTCAGATATTTTCGGTCTGGTATTGGACAATACAGCGCTTTCATTCCGCACTGATATTCGAATATATAATAGCAATCTTATCGTTTTTTTTCACATGTAGTATAGAAATTTGTAATAAGATACATAATGCGGTTATAATAAAATATTAATTTTAATTATATGAAAATAATCGCACAATATGTCTTTATATTTTAGAAAATACAAGGGAAGCGGCGCATCCACCGCTTCCAAGGACGGCACACCACTGGATCTTAGTACAGTAGACCCCCTATATAACACGGTAAATACGTTCCGTTTTATATGAATTCCGTGTTATACTAGTCACTTAAATACATGAGCCAATCACAGCCCGTGTGCAGTTTAGGGACTACGGTTGTTTGAAAGTTTTCTCCCATAAAATTAATCGATTCTAGACTACTTTGACTCAATATTTCCGAAACACGTATCATTTTTTGAGAATAATCCATATAAACTATGCTATACACAAAAAATTGTAGGATTACTTAACGAATGTTCACCATTCGACGACGCCATTGCTTAAGCTTGTTTTCGTAGCGGAGCGGCGCATCGAATGGCGGACGCGTGTTTCCCGATAAGTTATTTTTCTGCGAAAAATTCGTAGAACTTTGGAGACATCATTAATAAAAATATAATTTTTATGGCCGTTGAATAATAAATGTTTTTTAATAGATTCGGTGCTCGTTTAAACTTAACGGTTCGTGCAATATCCGCTATTGGTCTAAATCAGTGGTTTCCAATTACTTTTTCCTGCGTACCACTTCAAGAAAGAGCTCAAACTCGCGTACCCCTTATAGCAGAAATTCATATTAATTCATACCAATATAAATTCGAAGATAATGCTGTCTGTCTGTCTGTTACCTTTTCACGTGTAAACCGCCGAACACGTTTTAATAAAATATGGTACGGACATAGCTTACACGTTGGAGATGGATATAGGCTACATTTTACTCCGAGAAAATATCTTAGGGTGCGACTATGCAGACGCGAGCGAGCGAATTTTCCAAGCGAGGGAGAATATGTGGCGAGAAGAGGCGATAAGCGATAAATATCAAAACCTGTCAGATTTGTGCGAGAACCAGAAATTCGCTCTCGCCAGCGTTATTTCTCGCTTTGCGTTTGTGCATGGTTTTCCTTTGCGAAAACTAAATCGCTCGCAACCTCTCGCTCGCTCTAAATTCGCGTCTCCATAGTCGCACCCTTACTCTCACGAGAAAATTCGATATAACGCGGGCGAAGCTGTGGGTAGGCAGCTAGTGATAAATAAAATAAGTTTTTTTTTTTTTACATTTGTTACCTTTAAAATACAATTCTAATAATAATGAAAATAACATAAGGTTATTTAATTTTAATGCGACAAATGTGCACGATTTTCTTTGCGCAACTTTGTAAAATCTGGTTGGTTTTTTTTGGTCAGCTTCAGTCTTGAGTCATCTTCGAGTCGAAGTCGGTGACGATTCATGTTTGTCACGGCCGAAAATCCGCTCTCGCAGAAGTATGTTGTGCAAAATGATAGTAAATATTTTATTGCTGCTTCGCTGACACGATAATAATGATAATTGTACAATTTTTGTTTCTTGCGTAAGAATTTCATTTACGTATCGTCACAAATGCATTTTTTTGATGAAATTTCGAGAGTATTTTTAGTTATAAATAAACGAATTTGCGCATTCGACATCGTGTTGTAAATTTCCGAATTTTTGATGGTCCACCCATTACACAGGTCTGCAAGTAAAAAACTGCATAGGATTTTTATACATTTTCTTACAGATTTCAACTTGGTAAAAATAAAAAAAATACCAAAAAAATTCCATCTTGTCAATTTTTTTTGTTACACTCAAGTTTTTGTTTGTATTTAGCATAAAATTCCTAGTTAACTTAAAATTTATTATTTTTTTTTTTATTTAAAAAATGGCCTTAAAACGAAGACTTCTCACATTAATTCTATCAATTATAGCTGGACTTGTTAATAAATAAATAAAAATGGTTGAAGAGAGTAGTGGTAGGTGGAGGTGGGTTAAGTACTTTTAGCGTTAGGAGGAAGGTCGCATGATCGTATAGAAACAGGTTAAAAGTTGATAGTGAGTAATATTATTGGTGAGGTTGAGCATGTTTCGACATGTTATCTGGGATACTAGGAATAAATATAAACAACCTGCTGTTGGATTAGATCATGTTTCAACAAGCTAAATAAGTTCAGTATCTTGCTGGCCATCTAATGCCACACTCAGTTTATATCAGCATTCGAACGCTACTTCGATTGTATTTTTATTTCTGGAATACGGCTCGCAGAGGTTGCGTAATT